ATAATAAATTAACATTCAAATAATATGTTTTACAATGAGGTATATGAAATAAATTTTTAATCATAACAAAATGTGAGATTTGAGTAATTAATGGTCAAAGTTTGACCCAAAAGAGTCAAACTGGGAAGATTCTAAGGTTACGGAGGTAGTACTATATAAGGAATAATACACTATTTTATCATTATTCCTCCATTGTACGAAGTAGAGTAAATTTATAAGGAGTACTACTTTTTTCCCATTTTAGTTCACCATCATTGACCTTTTCAATCGATAAATTTATACTATTTTATCATTATTTCTTGATTGACTTTGACCAATTATTTTAACTAATACTACCTCCGTAATGAAAAGGTTTGCCAAATTGACATTTCTTAGTCAATGATGACAAACTTTGAACAATGATTTTAGTTATTATATTTGTATATAGTTTATAAATTTTATACTTTTATGAATATATTTTTAATAAGGAATATTTTGATATAATTTTCATATTCTAAATAATTTCGTATTAAAATATATCATTGGTCAAAGTTGATTGTCATTGACCAAGAAAAGTCAATTTGGCAAACCTTTTCGGGACGGAGTGAGTATATTTATATAAAATATAGATAGTATAATTTTATACTTTTATGATAATATTTTCAATAAAAAATATTTTATATCACTTTCATATTACCAATATTTTTATATATAAATATATAATCGATCAAATTTAGACATCATTGACTTGAAAATTCGAGTTTGACTAACAAGGAAACATAAAATTATTTAGAGACGTCCGTAATAGAAAAGTGACAAATTCTTCTTACATACTAGTATCATTTTAATTTTTCTAACCCCATCTCTTCTGGTTCAGTGTGAAACCAGTACACAGAATAATATTTCATTCATTTTAATGGTCATTTCCTTTAAAAGAAACTATAGTATAAAGGCTACCATATATAAGATCATAGGCGACTTAAGAGGCAACAGGGGTGAGGGCCCTAGACTGGATAAAAAAAAGTAAAAATTTAAGTTTATATTAGGGGTGAATAAGCTGATTTTTGCGGTATTTTTAAATTGGTGTTAAATTAGGGGTGAAAAGCAATGTAGTTTTAAATTGGTTTTTACCCAAATATAATAATCTCAACAACCAAATAACTAAGGATAAAAAATAATTCATTTGTCACGGTTTTTGTCACACACCCCTTCTTTACAAATCCCTAACAAAATCTGTAACGTCACAAGACTGTCAAAATTTTGTCAGCGAAAATTATCCGTGACAAAGTCTTGTCACGAATTTGTCACGTAACACTTTCGTGATAAAAGTCTGTGACAGATGATCTGAGTTGTGTTTTGTAGTATAATATCTCTGGTAAATTATTTTTGAAGTACACACAACTTTGACAATTGATATATTTCATTTTTTATTATTAAAAAAAATAAAAACCAGATTTTGAAAATTTGAAAAAGGAAGTAATTTATTTTTTAAAATTAAATTTTCTAATACTTTAATAAATTAATTATAGTTAAAGTACAGAATTCGGAGTGAATAATGTAAATTTTAACATATTGCATCTATTTTAGCACGAATGTAGTAATATATACTTCCTCCGTTCTTTTTTAGTTGCAACGGTCAACATTTCACATTTGCAAACACATGTCTTTGACCGTAATTACTCCGTATATCTTAATTCTATTAGTAAAAAAATATTAAAAATAAGATTTTGAAAATTTTTAATGAGATGAATTGAACAATATTTTTTTAAAAAAATTATTTTCATAAAATAATAGTATAAAATGTAGTCAAAGTAGAGAATGTGAATAATGTAAAATTCAACATGTTGGGATTAAAACAGAACGGAATAAAATATAAGAATGATCTTTTATTCAAAATTTCACAGTGAAAACAAACCCGTCTTTATATAATATAATAATATAATACTCCCTCCGTTCCTTAAAACTTTGACAACTTTCTTTTTTTTGATGTCCCACTAACTTTACTACTTTCCCTTTTAAGTAAAGCATTTATGATTCCAGTTAATTCTCTCTTCTCTGCACAAACCTCAAACACACAATTTTTACTTTATCAATTCCCGTGCCAATCAAACTTGACAAAGTTTTAAGGGACGGAGAGGATACTACAATAATAATCTATGCCTATTAAATACGAAAGAAAAATGGACACACGCGTACGTATGTAGCTTATATTGTGTCTTTGTCTAACATTAAAATAGGAGTTGTATATAAAAACAATTAAAGAAATAATGTTACGTGGTCATCAAAGATGTTCAAACTACGCGATTTGGCCGACGATGACTCTACCACTTGTCCACTTACACACACCACGTGCATGTTTACCATAATAAGCTATCGACATCCACTCTGAATATCGACTACATACTCGATCATGATACTCGTCTCAGCTAAAATTAGTTAAGATTAGGATGTAAATCACCTCATACAAAGAGGGAGTTCAATTCGAAAAAGAACGACACCCTATCCCTGAGGACTCCAACATCGACCGAACAGTTAGATGAGAAGATTTAAATTGGACTTTAATAATAAGCTGACAAATAGAGAATGAGACTCTGATCCTTATACTTATAGAGACCCTGTGCGTTTTAGCATAATAACTTCCTATCGCAGTTGTCGGGATTAAGGAAATCAAGGGAGTTCAACTCGATTTAGAATGAAACTTAATGCTATTTACATCAGAGCGTGATCAAAGCTCAACTTATATCCTCTCATATATATGTTCTTCAATTTCTTAGAAATGAGGTGTCGTTCACTCGTTTCTTTAGTTAAGACTTAAGAGCCCTTTGGTATTTACAGTTCCCTGAATTCCAAATTAATTATCTAATATGATTTTACATAGATATTAATATAATAATGTGTTCAAAAAATAAAGGATATGTCTTTCTAAAAAAGAATGTGATAAAAATTTGAATAGAAAATACGAAATAATATGAATCAATATTATTCTTAAAATGGAAAAAAGACAATAAAACATCCAACAAAGAAAAGTATACAATTATTTTGAGACATACATTAATGTTTATATTAAATTTAATTTTAGATTTTCTTACTAAAATATGTAATAATGAGAATGAGTAAGATTACAATTGATTTTCAGGCTTAATTTGCTAAAAAGTACTACTACGTATTTATTACTACCTCTATCTTTAAGTTAGCCAAGTTTGACTTTCTAGTCAGAGATGATAAACTTTGATCAATCATTTGAAATAATATATTTATGAGAAACTTAAAAATTTTATACTTTTATTATAATATTTCTAACGAAGAATATGTTCATAGTATAAATAGTTTCGTGTATAAATATATTATAGGTCAAAGATTAAAATCATTGACTTAGAAAATTCAAAGTTGACAGGGACGAAAGTTATCTTTCAAAAATTATTTTAAGGTCTTCACAATTGAATTTTTAACTGAAATTTGGTGGACATAAACTAGACTTGATGAAAAACGTGTCTAAAAAAGATCAAAAAATTCCACCGAAAAGGGGCACTGGCCCAAACGCCACCGTCCAAACAGCGGTTCTGATCCAGAAATCTGGAATTCTCAAAATAATTGTATACTTTTCTACATACATACATGCATGCATGCATACATACATACAATCATAGATCCAGAGTTAGATGATTCTGAGCAACCCAGTGTCATCTACACAGTGGGCCGAGGTCTAGCGTTGAGGCCAATATCATAATCTAGGCCCAACCCCGCTTTCGCTAGCCTGTTATATCCTGGGTTGAGCATATCAGCGAGACCAAGTCTGATTGGTTACAGTTCCTATACATAGTCGTTTCCCGGGAGTTCCAGATATGTTATCCAGGGCATTAAACTTTAAGAGGACATTAAAGTTTTGCCATACTGCAAAATTTCACACAATTTATCAATTCCCATATTACATACTTCAAAATTTGAGATGGGTCCGATTTGACACCATGCTCATTCAGTATTTTTAACCACCCCTATCTTGAACATCATAATAAGAGTAAAAACTATTTTCGAAATTAGTATTCCCTCCGTCCCATTTAAAGGTTCTCATCCACTATTCTCCGATCAATGTGCATTGTACTTAATCTTTTACTTTATATATACAACTTTTATCAGATTTAAATTTTCTTGATTAGACTTTCTAGCGATTTTCCATCATTTGCAATGGAGCCAAAGATTCATTATTTTTTGGCTTGAGATTATGATGGAATAAAACAAAATGGCTCACTAAACTGGCTACGCTTCTTTGTTATGGAACAACACTCAGTCCATGCAATCTTGGACGTGATTTTCACTATGAGTCATCCGGAAACAGTCTCTCTATGCTTTAGTACAGGGGTAAGACTGCGTACATCCGACCCCCCCTTACCCCACCGTAGGTGGGAGCCTTTGCGACACTGGGGTAAATGAAAATGAAAATGAGATTTTCTAGCGATTTTAATGTAGTTTCTGAATATGTAAATTTTATTTACTAAAAATAATTCTACTAATGACAGTGATTAGTTAACTTTATGATCAATCAAACGTCGTAAACCGTGTGAGAACGTTTAAAGGTATTTTCCATATACACTACAATAATTGTTGATTTGTTTAGAGGTATTTTCATCTTTATTTAATACAGAGTACTACGTACTACCTCTGTTCCTAAAAATTCTTCCCGGTTTGACTTGGCCCGCTTATTAAGAGAGTGGAATAAAGTGGAAATGTATGGTTGTGGTTGTGTAAGAAAAAGGTAAAATGAATGTGAACCACACAAATTGTCCAAAATGGGAAAGTGAGAAGTATTTTTGGGAACAGCCCAAAAAGGAAAGTGAGAAGTATTTTCAGGAACGGAGGGAGTATATAAGTAAATAAGTAATGATTCAAGTCAACAAGTTTGGTATTAAAAGTAAAAAAATCTAGAAATGAAAAAGAGAAATTACTTAATGTGGGGTACACCATTATCATTTTCATTTAATTCTTGACAAGAATCTTCGAGGAAAGCAGAGCACAAACGAAGACTACTGAAAGGAAATGTCGGCCGGCCAGGAAGACTAATTTCGCAGGCCCCTTTTTTTTCTTTTCTATATACGGAGCATGTATATATATACAGCGGAAACCCATATATAAAATCTGCGTCCGTGTGAAGATAAACGAAGAACCATCACATCGCCAGAAACAGAGCAAAAAGAAAGAGTGTTGAAGAAAAGGGTTAATTAATTCATAGAATTAATCGGAGATGGTGAGAGCTCCTTGCTGTGACAAAACGGGCCTGAAGAAAGGCCCATGGACCCCTGAAGAAGACCACATTCTCGTCTCCTACATTCAATCCAATGGCCATGCCAACTGGAGGGCTCTTCCTAAACTTGCCGGTTAGCCCCGATCCGACCCGATTACGGCTCTTTTGATCTTCTTCCGTTAGAAGCTCGAGATACGATCTTCTGAAAAACTGATTCTGATTCTAATTCTATCTTTTTTTTACGGTTTGTTTTAGGGCTGTTGAGGTGTGGGAAGAGTTGCAGACTGCGGTGGACGAATTACCTCCGGCCGGACATTAAAAGAGGGAATTTCACTAAGGAAGAGGAAGACTCCATTATCCATTTACATGAAACTCTCGGTAACAGGTGCGTTTTTTTAAATTATAATTTTAATATAAGTGATTACGGAGTAATTTACATTATACGAGTAATTCGAAATACTGAGAATGAGTTTTTTTGGTTAACATTTTTCACAAACATGGAGTTATAATATCTAAAATAAAATTGAATCATCCATTACAAAGTTTTTTCGATTTCTTTCCTTCCTAAAAACATTATCCTTTTAATTTAAAGCAATATAAAAACGAAAAAATTCCACTTTTGGTCAAACGACTATTATACCACTTCCACATTTAGTCCCTTACTTTCAGATTGTCCACATTTAGTCCATGAACATTATCCCCTCACCATCCCTCGTCCTTCTGGCCAAAATTCCGGCAAGTTTAGTTCACTTATCAGCCTCAGAATCAGTCTTTGCATTAAATTTGGTTTTTCATACCTAAAATCTTCAAGTATAATAGTCACGGGACCAAAAGTGGAATTTTTTCATTTATAAACACATACTTCCTCTTTCCTCGGAGATTTCTAGTTTGACTTTATATATATTAAGAAAATAAATTTGATTTGACATTATTGCGACATTGTATAAGATTGTTTTAAACTGTTTGTTTGATATAGATTTGTTTTCCTAATTAAAAAGTTAAGGAAATAAGATTTCATAATTAAGTAGGAAAGAAAGTTCGTGCGCAAAATGATGAGTGTAATTAATCTTTGTCTCATTTTCTTTCAGTAATACCGACGTAGTGTAGTGGGCCGGGGGTGGGCTAAGACTTCTTTGTCATCACAGCCATCAAAATGGAATACCATGACCTATATTAATCATTACATATAGATATATACACTAATAATATCTTGGTGCATGCATATTACAATCATTAATCACATGCATACTACAATTATTAATCAAGATAAACAAAAAAATGTATAAATAAATTAAGGCGGTATAAATGTTCATAATTACGATTATTCGTGCACAATACAACTAATTAACCCCATCTAAATATTATTACCTCCGTCCCGCTATTATTATCCCATTTTACCTTATCGGTCTGTCCTACTAAGATTATCCCATACCAAATTTGATAAAGTTTGTGTGGTTCTAAATCATTTTTACTTTATTCTTACTTTATCAATTCAATATCAACCACATAAACCACTTTTTATTAATTTGCGTGTCACTCCCTCTTGTCCCATTGTTAGCGGGAGGGAGTAACGAGTATGTATTATTAAAACTAAAAGTTTGTTTAATTAGTATTGCCCAACACAATTAGGATTAATTAAAGCACAACACAAATTCTGAAACAAAACATTGTTGCCTCCAAATAGACTCATTCAATTCTAAATTTTTTTACAAGTATTTTTATTCTTTATTATAATTAACTAAGCCATATTAATTTTATACGGAGTATGTGAACAAATAAAGATATTTAGTCCTATTAGTAATTTTGTGGGCGCTCCACCCCCATTAAGGATTACTTCTTATAAAGCCTAGCTTGACTAAAAGTTAACAAGGAACTCTATACTGCAAAAGTACCAACTATAACCGGTGCATTTCAGAGGTTATATTATGTTTTATACTCCATCCATTTCACGATCTTTGACACACTTTCCTTTTTTGGCTGTTTCAATCAATGACACACTTCCTTATTTCCTTATTTGGTAAACAAATCTTTACCAGAACAGTGCAAAACAGTGTCAATCAGTGCCAAACAGTGTTCAAACAGTGCCAAACAGTGTACTATACAGTAAAATTTACCCCTTAGTAACATTTTTTCCTTAACTCTTGACAAGTCAAACTGTGTCAAAGATTGTGAAACAGAGGGAGTATAATACTTTTATTTATATTTAAACGGGTAGTTCTTCGAGTTTGTCTCACATCAAATTTGGGAAAAATCATTTTACTGGCACATCTTAATATTTACTTATGCTGACGCCACTACATGAGTACTCCCTCCGTCCCGAAAAGGTTGGTCAAAATTGACTTTCATGTGGATTAATAAAGTAAAAACTGCGTGGTTGAAATTTGTGTTGGAAAGAGAATTAATTTTAACCACGTATTCCTTAGTTTAAATGGAAATGGTAAATCTTTTTGCGATATCCAAAAATTGGGACGGAGAGAGTATGTTATTGCAATAATTGTTATGTACTACGTAGTATTATAGTCATGCACAAGAAAAATATACGGAGTAAAAAGTAAATGTACTACACGTCTACACATCTCGACTTTTTCATCCTTTTTTGGCTTGAAAGAGTATGCATTCTTAATTGAGACGATTATTTCACTCTCTTGAAACTGATTTAGATATTTTCGTGCATTTAAATTTCAGATGGTCAACAATAGCAGCCAGATTACCAGGACGAACTGACAACGAAATAAAAAACGTTTGGCACACCCACTTGAAGAAGAAGCTCAAAGATTATCAACCCAACCACAAGACTACCACTCCACGCGACAAAAACCCAAACCCGAAACCCGAAAATTCAAATGTGACCGAAGTTCAGCACAATGTCACTAGTCCCGTTAGTTCCCCGTCCTCTCCGAGGCCATCATCGAGCGAAATGTCGTCCTTAACCGATTCGGTTGGTTGGTCGGAGACGCCAACGAAGCGGGAAGACGGGAATTCATCGGAGTACTTTCCTCCGATCGACGAGAGCTTTTGGACGGAGGATGTAACGGATTTTACACGGGTAGAAGAACCAGAGGAGTTTGAGTCCCTTGGCAGCTTGGATAATTGTACAGAAAATATGGATGGGATGGTGTACCCGTCAAAGACTAGGGATGAAGATTTGGACTTTTGGTATGACATTTTTATTAGAGCTGGTGATGTACTAGAGTTGCCACAGTTCTAATGCATTTTGGGCTACGTTGTATCATAATGATAGTTATTATTATGTGTATTTTCCATAAGGCAAAAAACTTGTCTATCACAACATGTTAATCCATCAGCCCTTTCAAAGGCGTATAAATACAAACTCAAACATATAGTTTTAGACTATTATTAACCAAAGTTACTTCCAAGTTCCAACATCAAATTTCAATTCTTTTGTCTTAATTTTTATGCTTTTATGCAACTTTACACATAATGAACTTGGTGAATTTATATCATCATGGGTTTATTAAAAAGGGGATTTGACTCTGCATCCATTTTTCATAGTCATTAATGTGTGCACATCGTTTAACATAAAATTATCTGAGTTTGAGCCCTCATTCTTTCACGAATTTTGGGCCGATGCCTGAAATAGTGCATACATAAATAATTGTGAAAATGGAATGCAAAGTCTTAATAATCCAAAAATGGAGCATGAAGTCAAACCCACTTATTATAAATTGGTGGATTGGGTAAGCCTGAGACACGTATACCTAGGAGGGGCTTATATATGTACCTAGGAGGTCATACTAATGCTTTGAATTTATGAGTGAAAAAACTATATAAAATCTTGGTATGACATATTTATTCAGGAAAATTGCTCTAAATAGCATGGACATATTTCTTCCTGAAATAGACTCATTATTGCAATAATTGAAAAATACTCTTATTAATGGTAGTAAATAAGACGGTCATATTAATGTCTACTACTTTAACTATTTGACCGTAATGACTCCAAGACGACATCAAATACTATCATGTTACTCGGGAATTATCCTATACATTTACATTGACAATTTAACTATAGAAAGGCTGATGTTTCTCCAAATTGGGTTACTTAACAAGGGCGGAGCTTGGGGCTACTTTAGATTCTTACACACTCCATTTTTTTTAAATACTCCCTCCGATCCTAAATAAACCTCACACTTTCCTTTTTGGGTAGGTCCAAAATAAACTTCACACTTCTTCTCCCTTCCTTATTTGGCAAATTATCTACATCAAAACAGTACAAAACAGTGTCAAACAGTGTCAAACAGTGTCACAACAGTGTACTCTACAGTAAAGTCAAATTTATTTCCTTAATTTGTGTGAAGTTTGTTTAGGATTGGAGGGAGTACTTGATTATCAATATAAAAAAAATTCGTACAAAATATTATTCCCAAAAAATCTTTTGCCATCTCGTGATTGTTTTGATTGGATTGTAATTTGCAGGTGTGATCTGTTTAAGTCTGGTCTGGTCTGGTGTGGTCTGTTTAAGTCTAGTCTGGTTTGGTAAACGTTTGGTGTCTGTGTATTTTATAACTACAGAAGCCAAGTCTGGTATGGTCTGGTCTGTTTAAGTCTGGTCTGTATAAGTCTTGTTCGTTTAAGTCTGGTTTTGTCTGATCTGATATGTTTAAGTCGGATTTGGTCTGGTTTGATTTGATCTGTTTAAGTCTAGTCCGTTTAATTCTGGTTTGGTTAGATTTGATCTGATTTATTTAAGTCTGATTTGGTTAGATTTGATATGATCTGTTAAAGTTTAGTCTGTTTAAGTTTGATTTGATCTGATCTGATTTGTTTAAATTTAGTCTGTTTAAGTCTGATTTTGTTTGATCTCATTTGATATGTTTAAGTCTAGTCTTGTCAGACCGACTCAAAAAGATCCGAGCAAAAACATCTGAATCAACCTATTACCATGGCAACGCCCCTTTACGGAAGACTTGGGGTTACCGTCAGAGGTGAATTTATGTTCTTTGAAAGCCTCCGGGTCGTTGCCAACGTGCCAAAATAAAGAAAGTAAATCTTGGGTGGAGTCGACAATTTTGAAATTAAAGCTGATGGACTTTATCACTCGCGAGATGTGGACCCAGAGAGCACGTTTTCAAGAGCCAAGAAGACCTCAGTGCAGGAATAGTTCACATTTTATAGGATCATTTGTTGACTATATAAAAAAGGTTTTGGTCTATTATTAATAAAACAGAATTCATAGAAAAAAGTCACTGCATAATTATTATTATAGTTGTCAAAATGTTATCGTAGTCAATGCAGTGAATTGAACTATTAGTCTATGAAAACAGCACAATAATAATTGTATGTGTGTTAAAAAACATGCATTTACCTGTTATTTTAATTTTAATAATATGTTTTTCACTACTTATTACGTAGTATATATCCTATCATTGTTATTCTAAAACGTTTTTTTGTTTCTTTATTTATTCCAACAGTATCATATGTCAATTGACTTTATAGTTTATACACTCTTTTGGATACGGAGTATAAAGTTTCAGTGTTTTTTTAGAACAGTTTCAATGCTATTATTCATCATTTTTTATAATCCAGGTGTCAGGGATTACGTTCCCATAATCCTGAACTCTATGAACTACTCTCCAAAGCTCCTAGACAATTAAATCCGGATCTGATCACAGTCAGCCTCGTCTGTACTAGCTCCAAAGGATGAATCCAACAGGACTTACATCACCTTTCAGACTGTTTCTCCCACCACACAAACCCGCTACCTTATTATCATCCCCTCTCTTCTTTACCTTATTATCATCCTCTCTCTTCTTAAAAGCTGAGCAACTCCGTGAAGGTAGGAAGAATCATTGGGAGCAAAACCTCCCTCATCTCCCTTTGGTGAGAATTGAAACCAAGACATCCCACAAAGGAGAGATTTGGGGGTGAATGGTTATCCATTGGACTACACCCACCAGCCCTATTCATCATTTCTTTATTTATATATATTTGTGAGTTACCTTAATTAGCTTGCATGATGTTACTCTAGCGGTTGCGCTTCATAAAACATTGTTTTAAGTATATATAAATATAATACCCCGTAGTAACTAGTACATGGTATCAAAGATATTGTCATTAATTGACCAAATGAGATCATATATGGGGTGTTTGGTAAATGACATTTCAACCGAAAAATGACGGTTTGACCACTTTTATCATTTTCAATAACTAAAAGATTGTTTGATAAATAGTTGTCCGGTACTGACGTTTTTTGACAGAAATGCTGAAACAAAAACGTTGCAAATAAGAGATTTTGAGTTAGCGTTTTAAAATATGACTTTTTTACTATTTTTATAGCCAAACAAATAAATTATCAAACATTTTTTGACAATCCAACAACTTATTTCGCTAGTCAAACTCGTTGAATGAATCCGCTATTGACAACCCACTAACATAATCCTCTTAAAATGTCAAATACACCCATAATTTTAACCAAAATAATCTGAATTGGTGACCCAAATCTTATGTGAATATTAGGAAATGTGTGCAATTGATTTTTTACTGTGCCAATGTAGTCTTCTTGATTTAGTCATTCCAATTTCGATATGTTCGACTTGATGTTAATGGTGAATAAATGACTTAATTAATTAGTTGTATGCTACGTATAATTTCAGTAACATAACAGATAAGAGATACAATTATGGGGGTTTAATCCAAGATTGTTAGTGGGTTGGACTTTGGATTGCCGGGCTCTAAACCTAATCACTCCCTCCGTTTCTGAAACAAGTTCCACCTTTCCTTTTCGGGCAGATTCAAAATTAAGTTCCACTTTCAAACATTTCCTTATTATCTACATCAAAACAGTGTCAAACAGTGCCAAACAGTGTTCAAACAGTGCCAAACAGTGCACTCCACAGTAAAGTCAAATTTATTTTCTTAATACGTGTGAAGTCAAATGTGGAACTTGTTTTGGAATCGGAGGGAGTAATAAATTATGGGATGAACGAGTCTTGTTCCCAAGTTGTTGTCCCATTTTAAATTCTGATCGAGACAAATTTGAACCCCTAGCCTGGGATGTCCCAATCTAAAAAACTACTTCAATTCGTATTACACTTAAATACCACGGTTATAGACTTTTTTTAAATATATTTGTGATTTGCAATTAATGTAATAGGCCATTTAATCGGCGTTTACTAAGCGCAAGCCCCCCCCCCCCCCCCCCCCCCAATGTCTTTATTACGTTTAATAGGCCATTTATGGACCCGTCTGGGTTATTCGAACTTGATAAACGTAATCCTATTTATCTTACTGGTTTTGTTGTTTTCTTTGGGGATTTTACATGTTTTTTTTTTCAATTTCATGACAGGCTATTGGGCTGTGTTTTGTTACTCTTTATACACTGTATTTATTTTTTACTCCACATGCTCTGTTTTTTTGTTTCATCGAGAGAGAACGATGAATGATATAGGCAACACTTAAAGGTTATTCTTGACATTTAGTATAGAACATATATTTTAAAGTAAACACATCCTTACTAAGCATCTCTTAATAAGCACTAGCTTACTAACCTATGTTTTAACAAACACCGTTTATTAAACAAGGAAGTAAACATTTCCTTGGGATATAAATTAGAGCGGCGTCCAAGTTTTAAAATGAGAAAAAAGAGAATGAAAGGGCGTCATTAACCTCCACTGAAAGAAATACAATGTTAATTAGGAGTACATTTTTACACTTCAAAAGTAAATTCAAAGTACCATGCCACATCTATCGGGCACTCGCCATTTGCCAATGGATTTTGGCCACCTTCAAATTCAGGTGAAACTCCGCTCACTAAGAGCATCTTTAATGGAAACATGGATTGTTTAAAATTACATTGTCACATCAGATAAATAGATATTGAAGTTAAATTAGATGCTCCAACGGCAATGTGAATATGAAGCGGCTTGCTGAGTTGGGTTGTAATATAGCGCACAGTACGTGTGTATTGCTCCTTCAATTCGACTTTCAGAAGGCCTCATTGACAACCAAGTGAATATGGTGTCCTGTTGTCATATTAAGTATATCTACTTATACACTTATTAGTTAATCTACTTATTATCTACTTATTATCTACTTAGGTTCATGTGAGAATAAGATCTCAGGAGAGAAAAAAGAATAGATATTTACCGTTGGATGATCTTCTAAATAACCGTGCGTCTAAACCAATGTAGAGGGTAATGAAGTCAATTTATCTATACGTAATTACACTACCTAAAATCACGTTGCATGTTTCCTTTATTGCTTTTAATCTATCGTAATACATTCAAATGGATACATATATTCTTCATTCCTTATTAGGTTACTTTTACTTTCTTATATTGTTTTTTTTGTCTCTTTCATACATATTAGGTTACTTTTACTTTCTTATATTGTTATTCTTCTAATTTTATATATTCACATATTAAA